GCAAGTTCTGACGCTAAGCTTTTCCAGTGGGTTCCTCGACCAAGTGTCTCACCAGGAGCGCAGTACCAACCTTCATGGACGTCTGAGACCCGCATACGGGCACGTGAAAGTTCTGGCGGGAGAGTCGCTAACTCGGAAACCAGAGAAGCTGGACTGCTAAAATTTTGAGGGGTGTTCCCCGTTCAAGTACAAGCCAAATACTCAGATCCAGCACCCAGGAATGTTTTGTGCTCACGTACGGGCATGCAAAATTCTCCGGTCTGCTACCCAGCATAGCAATACTTTGTAAACCTTCTTGGTCCTTACTACTAATTGCACTGTATTTTTATCACCTTCTCAATCTCAGCTTCTCTTCAATTAGTGCACTGTAAAGAAGGGAGTGTTAGAGATAGAGAATGTGATGGAAGTGTAGCGCGATCTGTGACGGAGATTAAAGGGGAATTCTTTCAGTCTTGAAACACACGTTTGGAGGAGGAGCAGAAATTGCAAACGTAGCTGAAATACAGCTAGTTGGATGACAGAGACTGAGAGGGCAAATTACCTACAGCAGACCATAATTTGACTTACATGCTTAATAAGCCTCAATTGAGGCAATGAAACTGTGATGAAGCACTCGAAAAAGCAACTAATAAGATTATGTTACAATCATGAGCGATGTGAGAATTTCAGTTTATAAGAACTCTCGAAACAGCGGAAGCGCACACGCCATTGAAACCGCTGGAGAAAGAAATACCAGTTGGACCCTTCGAAGGGCAAGTTTTTGACGGATTACTGAAATGTTTTGAAAATATTCTAATCGAAGCAAAAGTTAGAACCATGGCTACGCGTTGACAGAAATATCGTTGGCTTTTTTTGAGGCAAAATGAAGGCAATTAGATTCCTTAAAACTCAAAACCAATGATTTATCATCAAAATCAAACCACCAGTCATTAAAGGTCTGTCTTACCCTAAGTAGGATTTATGATGTTTAACCAATAACTTTTCCCATGTGATACCACCATCTTGATCTAGAGTTACGAAGATTAGAGACGAAGTGATGATGCTCACTCTACATCAAGCGGCTAAAGTGTTGCCAAATGTTTCTGGCTGAGGGACCGTTCAGCTAATAATTTTCCCGGAAACAAAACGAATATTGATGTGGTCAGCAGAATGACTACCAGGGACGCAGCATCGGTCAAAGCAACTGGACAGTCGCCAGCTGCATAGATAAGGAACCAGAGTTAATTAACAGGTGTTCTAGACTTTCCAGGAATAGGCTTTCATAGCCAAATGTTTGATAGTGCATGGTGATAGCAATTTATACATGTTTCAAAGCATGTTTGCTCTGGTCAGTAAAAATTCTTTTGAGGGGCGATTGAAATGAAGTCCGTCACACCCCAAGCGCAGTTTCTTTCAAAGATCGAGAATCCGAAATGCATCTTCTCTTACAAAGTGTTTGCTAGAGCCTAAGGGTTGATAAAGTTTCCTATGAGGGTGGACTGATTCAAAAATATTTAGAAAAGTGATGACACAAGCGAATGAGTGCCTTCTTTCGGAAACATATTACCATGGTATCATTGACCAATACGATATGCAAAGAATGCTCGTTCGAGATGGTGATTTTCTTTTCGGTATTCCAGAAGAAGACGAAAAGGAGGTGCATTTTTGTTTAATGTTTTCATCCTTCCTTTTCAGAGACAAAAAAAAA